TTGCAAGATTAAATTGTTTAGGTAATCCAGAATTGTCTTAGGAAACAACTACATTTTAATGACAGTGGCAACTACTACCTCCCTCCATGCTTAAGATAACATTTGAATCACGCTATAATCTTCAAAGTTTCACATGTAAAAATTACTTTTATTTTGTCACTTTATTATTTATATCACTTACAACTGAAATATTCTTGCTTGGTTTCATCCACGTGATGGATATTGTCCTGGTTTCGGTTGGGATAGACTTAATTTTCTTCCTAGTAGCTGCTATAGCGCTGTGTTTTAGATTTAGTATGAGAATAATGTTGATAACACACTGATGTTTTAGTTGTTGCTAAGCAGTGCTTACACTAAGTCAAGGACTTTTCAGCTTCTCATGCTCTACCGACTGAGAAGGCTGGAGATGCACAAGAAGCTGGGAAGGACCATAGCCAGGACAGCTGACCCAAACTGGCCAATGGGGTATTCCATACCATATGACGTCATGCTCAGTATATAAATTCGGGGAAAGCTGGCCGGGGGGCCACTGCTCAGGAACTGGCTGGGCATTGGTTGGCAGGTGTTGAGCAACTGTATTGTGCATCACTTATTTTGTATATTCTTTTATCTATCATTATTATTATGATGATTTTCCCTTCCTTTTCTGTCCTATTAAACTGTCTTTATCTCAACCCACGAATCTTACTTCCCCTCCTCCGATTCTCTCCCCCATCCCACTGCGGGTGGGGAGAGAGTGAACGGCTGTGTGGTGTTTAGCTGCCTGCCAGGTTAAACCATGACAGTCCTGGAATTTGAGGGTAGGGAAGCCAAGCAGCTGGGATCCCTTTCTAGGGAAGGGGACATTGACAAAGCGAAAGGACAAGGGGCACAAGTCCTCAGCCTCTGGAGACAACTCCTGTCAGGCGTGAAGGAAAGATATTCCTTCACGGAAGATGTTATATGTCACCCAGGCAAGTGGACCACCATGGAGAGGTATCCAGTACCTGAGGGGATTAGTCATGGTGGATGTGATTTATAGTGACCTGAACCCTGAGCAGTAATCCGAAGATCCAGATGAGTAACAAATACTATTGTGATGTGACTTTTAGTTGGAGAGCAAGAAGAGCTGGCGTAAATGTTAGGAGGAATTGTGTGCTAGAGCTCACTAACTCCACAGAGATGGAGTCTCCTCCCATGTTTAAGACCAACAGAATAGGAACAGGGCACAGTCTGGAGAAATCAGGCTACCTTCAGATACACTGCTGATATACTATGAAAGGATTGACTGCTTCTTTAATACCCTAAGTGCTACATATACACCTTGTGGTCGTATCTTTAGTATCGGTATTCATGCTACCCTCTACATATTTTTGTTAATTATTTATTATTTAAAATTATGTTTCTGAATTCTGATTTGAATCATGATTCCTTACCAACTAGAGCACCCACAAGCATTTATTTTTTCATTCATGCTACCTTCTCGACCAGTTAATTAAAAGAGGAATGCAAAGAGGCGGTTAACACAAATGAATTTTACTTTGCAAAAGAGGGACAGAGAAGCAGAAGAAGGGATAAGAGCGTACACTCTGCCAGTTACTGAAGCTCCAATGAGATGTGACAACTTGTTGAGCTGTGACCAGTTCCTAGCGCTGATCCATCCTTCAAAACAAGCTGCTTTTAGCACCAATATGATGCCGGACTGCTTAAAGCGTCTTAAAGCCTCCCTCTCTTCTGCTCACCCTCCTCTTTTACAGGCCTGTCACAGACAGCAGCAGAGCCACACTCACAGAAATCCCTGGGCTTCTCTTTCTCTGCCCCCCAAAAGGGCAGTTTGTCCCATCAGCATCCACCAGAACTGGGACGGATTAAGAACAAATTCTGCATAGCCTGGCCCTATATAAGGCGAGAAAAAAAAATCTCACAATGATTCACAGAGGTAAAATCTAAAAAAAGCAGTATAATAATGCTAAGCAATCTAAAAAGATAAAAAGATAGGGACTCTTAAGGCTCTGTTTTAAAGCCTACATACTGCTAAGTAAAGCTAACTAGAAAGTGTTTGCAGTGCTGATGGAATTTGGAGTATACAGTGAGATAATTCACTTTTTAATAAATCATACTTTTGTGTGTAGTGCTTGAACTCGGCAAAGACACATCATTTCCCAGGCATTTCTGGAATACTACACTGGAACACTACAAACAGAAATGAAAAAAGAATCTTTTCAGTGAGCTTCTATTTACTGTGAAGTATTTTGTTACTTCGTAGTCACTGTATTCTCCACCATTCACCATGTGCAGATGAGGTTCCTACATTTGACTCAAAGACACAAAGAGGGCTGATGCAGAATTAAATTCAGCCACAGGCACGCAGGAGTAAGCTCTTACCAGGCTCAATGGTAATTGTGTCCACTCACGGAGAGCCGTCTCCCATGTTCTTAGACCAGAGACATAATGTATACACTTAAACACAGTGATGTCATCCTAATTCACTGCTCTGACAGACATCCACCAATTCAAGAGCCTTCTGCTATACCACAGTTTTCACCTACCCACCAAACGAAAGAGTGAGGTAGATGGAATCCAGGTGATACCGTCCCACACCTCCCAGACCCTCTCAGTCCAAATTTTCCATAAAGTTATGTTGAAATATATACATGATGAAATGTAAGCAGGGCACTATCTTTTCCAGTCTGAAGTTTTAGAATTATGTCTAAAAAAATAAATAGACAGAAGGTAATTCTGACCAAGCAGCAATGTGCACAGGGTTAATAAGCAAAATGGTTGCACCAGCAGCTTCCAAAACAAGCTGCTTTAATTTCGGGACTTCAGAACAATTTACAAACCACTACAGAAATTCTAAATGTATTCTAGAGCCAGAGACAGACAAAAAACCTAACTGAATGTGTAATTTATTTAGGCCATAAATAAATGAACTGTTAAAACACTCAGAAGTGGAATACAGGCAGAAAAAAAATGCCTGGACCACATAAGGCAATCCACACAAAAGCCCTAAAAATCCAGCAGATCTGTTGCAAATCTGGTCCAGAAAAGTATAAACTTCAGTTTAAAACTGAATCTCCTTCAAGTCATTCTTAGTGTCTCAGGTATTCATTACAGGACTCTGTAAGCCCAAAGAACAAATACATTGGGCAAAAAAAGAACTCAGGATCCTCAAGGACATCCTAACAAACAAATCTGATTATTTCTGTCCTATATCAATCCCTTCAGCCACATTCACTCACAAATCCCTACAAGACTCAGTCTCACAGTCCCTTTCCAAATACAAGACACTTATGAGTGACAGGCCAGACTTCCAAGCCTACAGAACCCATACTGACACAGCTGAACTGTCCCCCAAAGGAGACTTCACAATCTTCAGCCACAGTCAAGGTGTAGCACTTTTGCAGAAGAGCCCTCTCTGTCACTCACTGTTGCCCCATTTACCCAGACACTGCTCTGTCCCTTGGGAAGGGAATACCTCTGTACTGCCTAAAAAAGCCTCCAGGAACGCAGAGCTCACACAGAGCCGCAGAGCCGAGCCATGGCAACGTCACTTAGATGTCCCAAAGACATCACGGCAGCACTCTTTCTCCTGGCAGATGCTATTAGGATGGAGTGCATGACAGCGATACTTTCAGGGTACACTGCAAAGATGATATACCAATCCCTACATGGATTTGGTCACAGAGGGCTGCAAAGACACTGGTTGAATCTCCGTTTCTGACCAAAAGTCTTGCAATGTTCTGAAGAAGAGGTCTGTTGGACAAACTCGCCCAGCACTGCAAAGTTAGGGGAAACAGCTAACAAAGAACCATGTTTGTGGAAATGAAACCCCAGCAGATGTGATTCAATCCCCTCAACCAGCACCTTGGCAAATCTGCCTGAACACAATGTGAGTCTGTTTGCTTACACAGAACAAAGGGGACATAAGTAAAGGGGAAGGGCTGCAAGCAAGCCAGACACAGATGTTGATCTGAGAAGGGGCTGGGATCACACAGAGGACAGAAGTGGCTGAAACTCAAGATTTTCTGCAAGAAAAAAAATTTGGAATAGCTTTTGTTCTGCCTAAGAATAAAACTGATTCTAAGAATGTCCCGCACAATGGGAATTCTGAAATATTGTTTTGAAAAACATTTAATAAAGCATTTTGCTCCAAATTCCTGAATGAAACCCTTGAGTGGTTCAGAAAAATGACAATGGCTAGCAATAAATTATACATACATTTGAAAAAATTATAGATAAATATTCTTTGTTACCTTCACCTGCAGCAAGGAAAATCTACTCATCGGTTAATATTTTCCATTAATAGGTTGTACTTTTTAAACAAGACTACAAACTGTACCATGAATATTTCTTTTGCCCATGGGAAGAAATGAACTACAGAAAGCAATCAAAGATTCTCAGTGTTTGATTCTGCTTTTGCAAAACAACCTAGTTAGAAGTCTCTAAGGAGATATTCTAGAATCAATTCCATTAAATTATGTTCTGAGAGTCCAACAGCAAGTCAGAATACAAACAAAGCACAAAAAAGCCATGTTTCCCTTAGTGAAATGAGCACATATTATAAAAAAGGCAATTTGCAGTTAATATTGGATTGGATTCTGGTTTTGTAGTGTAAAAGTTGAAGTTTTGAAAATTATTTTGAACAATTCAACATTTAGGAATCAAAACACTCTCACTTGTTTTGATCTTTGGTTTTAAAGTGAAATCAGAAACAAGATCCATTAGGTCTATTTCAAGTTTCTTTCAGATTCTAGTCTGTTCCCATGATCCCAATCATTCAGGACTTTAGCCATCAGGGGAGCATAGGCTCCATCACAAGGGTATGTGAGCCCTTTCCAATGACTGAAGATTTGCATCACCAATGAGAAGGGATCTTTTTTTTTAGCACTCTCCATAGAGCTGAGGTTGTACTTATCACCTTTTAACTTGGCTGTACACATCACAGATTAAAAATGAGAGAAGCAGGGTCAAAATTCACGTAACCAGAAAAAAGGAATCACCTTGAGCAAAACACATACCTTTGTGGTATATAAAACATGTGCTGTGGAGGGGGTTTGTAGAGAACTCCTCCATACACAGGCCACAAACCACTTAAAATTCTGAAAAGCGAACTCTTTCCACAGCCATTGGGTCCAGTGATTAAAAGATTCATCCCCTCCTGGACCTACAATAGCAATCAAAATGCGAAGATGTTACTATGCAGTATATATGGCACAAGACAATCTAAGACCCCTAGAGGGAGTGACATGAGCATTTATGTAAAATTATCAACCCATTTCATTGATTACCTGCACATATTTATGCAACTATTCTGGGAACAGCGGCATCAGATATAATATATGGGCTGAAATAATGAAAATAATTTCTACAATGTCTGAGTATTTCTATAAACTACACTGATTATATCACAACATCAATACACCACACTCAGAATCAATTATTCTAATGCAGATTAGGTCCAAAGGTGTTAACAGCATACAGAGCAGTGCTATGCCCACCAGTGATACTAATTTAAGCTATGGGAGCCCAATCAAATGATTTGGAAAATTTACTTCACATTGCCCTTTCCTGTTTAATTACCAGTGTTATTTTTGGTGTGATGCACTTGGTTTTATTCATTTGAATATTACCCTGTGTATATATAAGTGTATATTTATGCATAATCACAATATCATTGTCTATGCTTTACATAAATATATTGACTATGTTATATTTTCTGTTGTTTTTGTTTCTTGAGCCAAAGGAATAAATATAACTGTCTCCTTGACCATAAAGTTGTAATTTTACAAATCTGAAATTACTACACTGCAGCCATTGCAAGTTTTGCCATAGCTAGGACCTTGTCCTCCTAGTTGCTAATTCCTATACCAATAGAGGTGGCAAGAGGAACACTCTGCTTTAGCTAAATTAAAGGACCTGCTGGAATTATTCATGTTAGTGTTCTGATAAATTCAACTATTTTTTAAAATAATAACATCCGCACTGGAACATAAGATCAGGATATATGTGGGAGTAATTCATTAAAGGTCATCCATTAAAACTGTGAGCAGGTACCAAGTGGTATCTGGAATAGCTTTTTAAAAGCAATACGAGTTTTTAATGAGTAAAGACTCCACAGGTGGGCTTGTGAACTATACTGTCAACTATGAGTTAGTACTGCTTTTTGTGGTGATCAAGCAAAACTACAGACTCAATTTTTTCACTGTTGCTGTGAACTCAGACTGGCAGGAGCCTCTGTGAGTAAAGCACCCCAGTTTCATTGAAATTAAGTAAAAATGTATGCAAACTTCCATATACACCTTTGAAAATCTCAGGTTGATTTTTCACCTGGCAACAGCACCAGAAATCCTCTCTTCTCTTTCTTTGAGCAGGGTAAACTACTTATGTCTGCCTCCATTGAGCTACCATGCCTACCTTTCTGGTACCCTTTTATCCATATGCTCCTCCAAGTACTTAATATAAGGTACATATATTCTGTGCTGTTTATGTTAATGTGATGGCAACAATGAAAGACACGATTCTTGCATATCATCTTACTTTGAAGTTTAGTCTGGAAACCACCACATCGCCATTTGGAGTAATAATAGGAACATTTTCACAAATAATTCCATGATCCACATCAATAACTTCCCCTAAAAAGAAAAAAAAAAAATTAAAGTTTGTAAAACCTTCCATTAAGCAATGATATGTGACAGTCTCTGTGCATGGCTGAGAAGTATAAATTGGTGAGTTTCAAAAAACTCTTTTATGTGCTCCAGGTTCCCCTAGTGGAAAATCTGGATAATAAATCTTAGCTAGTCAGAAAGACAGCCAACAGTAGCCAACAGTGTGCAATGAATCCTAAATTTGATCGTAAATACAATGCACAATATGCATCATAAATATAAAATGCGCTATAAAGACATGTTTATTCACATCCTGTATTCACTGTATTTCGTTTTAAATAGATGGTCAATATGAACCAGTAAAAAAGTTCAAGGACAGCCTTAGCCACAAGCAGACCAGTTTACCTTCTCTTAAGGATTTAATTAGAAAATGGAATCTACTTTCACTACCAGCTCTGAAACTCGGAGCTCAGCTCAGTCTCCTCCAGCTATGAGGACAAAGGAGAAAACATTTAATGGCTTGCTTCCATTACTTTTTGAAGCCACAGACACTGTAAATATGTCTTGTAAGTATTTGCAGAAACCCATGTAACATTTCACTCCAGTAGCTACACTTGTTATTTGGATTTCTGGCAAATTTAAATATACAATCTCAATCGGACATCTGGATACTCTGTAACACAAGGACTTTGAAATAAATTCTTCTGGAAACAGTAAAAAAAAGAAACAACTCCTAACTTCTCAGTTGCCTGTTAATGGGCTTCTCTAGCAAAACCCAAACAGCTGGGCTCCTAGACAAATATCAGAAATTACCTTTACAGAAAAGATGCAAAGCAAAGACATTTCTCTTTGTATTAGAAGGCTGCTTATTTTATAACTGAGACTAATCGGAACAAAACCAAGGAAAAGTTGAGTTTATTACAAAAGGATCTGGTAGCATTTCCTTCAGTTAAGGTTAGTTTTACATTTTCCATTAAGAGGCTCTTTGTTCAATTGCTTCCAACTTTGCCAAACTATAACAACCTGGGCAAGAATTTCTGTGCCATGTATCAGCCCAAGCATTCTTTTTTTCCTAAAATAAGTTTTATTTAAAACAGTTCTGTGGTGTCCAACATGAGATTATGGAAAACAAGTGTGTTTTGCTGTTAAAAAAAAATTATTGCAGCCTTCTCATCTGAAGCTCTATTGCCTTCAGACTCCTACAAAGGCACTCGATAGGCAACTGGGAGATCAATCACACCACACCAGGCATGTGTTTTTTGATGGGTTCATAAAAATGCTAACAAATTTGGCCAAAACATACTTTTATGAAAAAGGGTCATACCAGTCACTCCAGCCACATGAATACTTGGAAGGACTTGGCATTCATCTGACTATGTCTACACAGAAAATTATCTTTCACAATCTCAAGCAACCTCTGCAAAATTCATTCATGTTTTTGAAGCACGGTGGAGAAATTCTAGTTAAAATAAATCTATGATAAAGAATAGTAAGCTAAGTAAGTATTAAGTAAACTTAATTCTCGTCTCAACTTCACAGTGTTTGATTGCAACTTTAGCATGCTTTTAAAGCATATTTATGCGTAATCAGAAATACAATTTGACAGTATTTGTACAAGATGTACAAAATTCTATTTCAACTTTAAAATTCTGAATTATTAGATACACTATGTATAAGGCAATATTATTATCTGTTAAAAATATTCTAATAGTTTTCATATTTTCACAATGCTCTTATTGACAATAGTAAATGTAAAGCACAAAACAGACATCCCTTAGTTACATAAACTTATATTGGATGATTCAAAAGGAAATACGTAGTATGTGTTCAAAGAGCCTTTGGGGAAGCTGAATATTAAGGTTTTTCTTTTCTAACAATGCAGACACATATAGGTATGTGAGCACGTGTACTTTTATCCACATACAAATCCACTCTGCAGGGATTTCTGAAGTATCAAGACCAAAACAAAGGAGGAAAATTACAATGGGACTTGTCATAAAAAGTGTGCAGCCTGTGGCCTAGATTCATCTGGGCTAAATTCTGCTTAAGTCCTTGTGCACAATGCTTGGTACTGGCTAGCTGCCTCTGAGAGCCTACAACCACTCAGGAGCAAACTCTAGACACCACGACTTAGGAGGAATTCAGGCTGGATGAAATGTGTGACTCTAGTGGAATCAAATCTTGGGAAAAGGCTGCGGAGAAAAAAGGAGTGGGGTATAAGTATACTAGACCAAAAGGGAACGTGAACAGCATGCTTGCATATCTGAACTGTATTTGGTTTTGTTTTTAAAACACAGTTATCTAAAAAGAGCCCCCAAATTACTTTGTTGCTCCAGGAACTACAAACCTTTTATCTTGTACATGACAAAAGGTAAAGTTATAAAATGCCATTTCTTTTAATGTCAGCCAAATATTACCAAGATCTACAAGATTAAGACATCAGCTATTTCCACAGCTATCCATCATGCCGCATCAGACTGTTTGTTATGAAGAACCTTGTCAGAGGACCTTTGAGAAATCTGTGCTGAAGGGCAGCATTGTTGAAATTGTTGAAAGAAGTTATTTCATGAAGAGCACTTTGGTGCCTTCAACTCTACCGAAGTTTAAGTTTTCAGAAGCCAAAGGGAGGGAATGAGGCTTTTCAACACCACAGAGGAGAGAAGCAGAAGGGATCTGTTGGGAAAACTGGGAAAAGCCCATTGCAAAAGCTGCCTTTAAGTACCTCAGAGAGAGGCTGGATGCAAGAGGAAGAGAGAGGTGGCACATAATGGAGCACAATAAAAAATGGATGTATACAGAAAATGCTTTGGGGAGGGTGGAGGCAGAAAGATAGTGGCACCAGAAAGATGCAGGATAGGGACGGGAGGGATAAGGTATTTATTGATCAGATCATTTGGGAGGTGAGGGGACGGGTAAAGTTGTCAGCCCATTTTCAGTTGAAAATTCCCGCTAAATTATGAAAAAATGAGCTCAGGCTGATTTTCAGTCGCTGAAAACAAAGTAGTATTTTCGTCAAAAACTACTGAACCAATCCCCTCCTACCCCAAACAAAATAATGTGGTGTTTGAAGATGAAAATGTTACAGTCTCAGTTTTCTGAAAAAAATGAAGTGTCTGAGGAAAGCAGGCACTGTCCGTGTAAGAATAATAATACCACCACCACAAATAATAGTATAGTTGAAATGCCTTTTTCATTGAAAGTTTTCACAGAAAACATTTGAGCAATTTTGTGTATTAGAAAAGCACTGCATAAGCACAGAGTTACAAAATAGCAGGAGGTTAAAATGGAAGGCAACATAGTCTCTGGGGTATTAAGGCTGAGAGGCTGATTTGTTGTAGAAACAAAACCTCTGTTCACCTCCTGTCCCACTGCAGCGGCCCCACACACGGGGAAATACATACAAATATGAATTAATTACCTTTGATTTCTAAGGGCCCATCGATGTGTAATTCTGCTTTATCTTCATTCTTGCTGTTGTTTTCAGACCCTTGAACAACAGCAGTTCTTTTGTAGATGCCTCTCTTCACCTCATCAAAGACTGAAAACATGTTGTAGACACGGGTGGTGTAGCCTGCTAGCTCAGTAACCTGAGAAACAACGAATGCCTCATTTCAGTTGTACTTCACAAATTCTATAAATGAAATGTTTGGCCAAAGGTTCATGAAAAACATTCCCAGCTATTCTGAGTCAGTGCTTCTCAAATGCTATTCTGGAAGGATCAATGATGCGTCTTTTGACGCCCATCAATTTTCGTTCCTTGAGATTCTGTGCTAATCCATATTGCCACCCACAGCTCCTACCAGCCAGCAGACAGAGACAGTTCGAGGGGGACAGATTTCAGCCAATGTAAGCTATGATAGCTCCAGTAAATGAGGAGGTTGCAGAAACTCTTTTCCATAAATCAGTAGAGTCTTTAACCAGCAGAGAATAGCTATTAGCTTATCTGAAAATAGAGAGCCTATCATATAAGAGAAAAACAAAATCTCTGCATTTGCCAGCAAAATAAAGGTCCACAGTAGTTTGTTTCTTCTTCACAGAAGTTTGTTCACTTCCCTGTATTCCCAAAACCTCCTGTGGGAAAGGTGTGCTTTTCTGTGTAAAACAGGCAGCGCCAGGGCATCCTAATCTAAAATACAGTATAAAAAAGAAGTTACTCTTCTGACAACTGCATGCTAGAGTATCAGAGCTAGATCTGAGACCTTGGATTAGAACTGGGCATTTTTAAGATGGTGAGGTCTCTTAAAAGGCTTTCTCCTTTTTTTTGGTCCTTTGTCACAACTTCCACCTGGTGAAGACAGAAATAACAGATCTCTGGACCTGACAACTTCCTATTCGTGGGCAGCGACACCACCAAGAGCTCCCAAAGAACTGCCTCCATCTGCTGGCAGCAAAGAATTAAACCTGGGCATTTTATTATAAATGTATTATTAGGTGTTTTTAAAAGGATGAATTTTCATACTAAATGCTGAGAGCAAGACAAGAATAGCAAGAAAATGAGTTCAAGATTATAAAATCATTAGCTTGCTGTGGTTAAACACATACACCCCATAACCAAGTTCACCTGCTAAGGGCGTACATAATGCAAATATAAAATCCTCTGTAAATTTCACTATTTGTGCCAGATTCAGAAGTGAGTGCTAGTTATGGCCCCATGGCCATCACTCCACTGGAAGTTAAGTATACAACGTCTCGAAAAACTCATTGTTTCAACTCCATCAGCTGTACATTGTTTTGCACTATTGGTAATTGCATTAACAGCTGTGAGAAGTATTGGGCTAGCCGCACTTGAGGTAGTAGGTAGCACATAGGAGCTGTAACATCATTCTCCACACTGGAGTCTTTCTAGCAATTTCAGTGGGAGCTCGTGCCAGGACCGAGTGCTCCGCGTAGCGTCAGCAGTGGCATTTGATGGAGAGGGTCCTGCCTGTGATGAATGAAACTTGTACCAACTGTGCCCCAGAAGAAACATAACTTGCAGTAAGTTTCTAAACCATGACCCTACAAACTCGCTTTGTCAAATCACTAAATACTACCATCTAAACTATTGACCTGCAAAGAAAAGTTGAGCCCACCTCATCTGCATGCTGAATTACATTGACTGGAAGGAGGCTGCTTTGGTGGATCAGGTAGGCAAGAACTGGAACTTCACTACCACTTGAAGTGGATTGAAGTACACTGTCCTTTGGAAATTGCCTGAATCACGAAACGGGAATGACAATGTGGTTAAAGTACTGCAGTGTCTCTTGAAGAGAAGTATAAATGTAAAATTAAAATGGAAATTCAGAGAACTGGTCTTTGATCTCACGATGTCTGGATTAAAATCTCACCATGTTATAAACAAAGTGAGTTTGTTCAGTTGTTCCTACTACTTTGTGGGTATTTTTGTTTCCAAAAAATAAAACCACAATGTTTTTAAGTCCCCATGTACGTTATATAAATGACTTAAATGTTGAAAACAAAACAGAAATTACATCAGTGTACAACAGGTTATCCGGCAGTATCTTTAGAGAAGAGGCCAAGCAGGGGAACAGCTAAAGGAGCATAGGTCAAAATCACAGTCCATTAGAAGAACTCCTCCTGAAAAAAGCACAGACTCTGCCTTTGTCAGAGTCCATATCTGAAGGTGCCAAAGTACCCCTCCTCCTCCAGTTTACAAAGCTGTAGCTATTATGGCTGGATTCCAACTAAAGGAATCCATAGTCTTTGATTAGCTGCCTAGCTAATGCGTGCCTCCTCGCACTGCACTGGGAAAGGGGTCCCCACCAAAGGACAAGCAAAAACCAATTAACAAATGCAGAACCAACATTCAGAAGGAAATGTTGAGGAGAATAACAGTGCTGCCTCACTTTTCTTTTGCTTAACAGCTGCCACCTAGAGAAACCCCCAAGAGAGACCACAGATGAAAGCCCAACTTTACTAGAATTTGGGCAAGGACCTGAAACAACATCTCTGATCTTCCAGATGAACATCCTGTACTTCTAAACTATCTGCCATCCCAAGGTGGATTTTTTCCTGCTAAAATTTCTCTACTTTGCAAAATTACTTACAATTCAACAGGTTCACAAGATACTGAAAATAGCACTACAGTTCAGGTGGCCAGGAAATAAGTACCCAATTCTCTTTGTGTTTCATACAAAACATGACACTTCCAACAGGGAAGTCCCAATACATTGGAGGCAGACAGCCTGAATTCAGGCCTGTGCTCCAAACAGAGGAGGAATTTGAGCCTTTATCACTCACATTCCAGGAACTTCTATTGCGCTCTGATGGCACCTGAACACAAGTATTAAAGATGACATTTACATGTTGCACCATATTGGCAGCTGTGCACTTTAGGCTCTTTGTGGACTTAACTCTAAAGATCAAACTATCAGTTCAAAGACCTCCATGGATTTAGTTGCAGTAGAATTTGCCTTTAAAAACTGCACTTAATTATTTACATTTCATATTAAATGTAAATTCTGTTTTACTTTTTTTCTCTTCTGTTTCATGTATGACAGATGTACAGCACCTCTTTGTATGAAGACATAATCCTTTCAATAGCATCTGCTCCAGAGATCAGCAAGTTTCGTGATGTAGTAAAAGCTTCTGTTCTTTCACTAACCATTGCCTGTTTCTCGCCATCATCCAATTCTAAAAGTAAAAGAAGTTTTCTGTTAAAATATTCTTCTGAAAATTATCTCTACAAACTAAATTATGATTAGAATGTGAGCAGCTTTTAAATTAAGAAAAAGTTAACTCTATGAAGACAACCTTTCAAAAAGAATTGGTGAATGTAACTAGCATAGATAGCTTGGTAACAAAAAATAAGCAGGAGCATATGGAATTCACCTCCTTATGCAAAACATCCTATTCTTTTATACTATTTGTCTACCTAGATAATTTTCCTTTTAATATATCATTATTCAACCTAAATTTTTCAAAATATGAAAAAAATGAAACCTAAGCAATGATCTGAAACAGATTTTTAATAGCATTTTTACTATGTTTGCAATTATTCATTTTCAGCCTTACTTATTTACTGACTTCATGTAAAAGGAAACATTCATATTGATGGAAATTTGGACACATGATTATATTTCTATAAGAAAGCAATAAGCTCTTTTATTATCAAAGGCATGGTTTAAGTAGGATACCTCTCTCTCACAACACAGTTTCTCTCTTCATCTGACCCCAGCACAAAGTTTTGATGCTTTGTTTATGACACTGCACCCTATTAGCAAGAAAACTCTTGCTCCAAAGAAAGGAGTTGTCTCATAAGAACACGTCAGCAGCAACAGGCAAGGAGAAAACAGCAGCAGAAATTATAGAAGATACGTGAGAAATAAATATGTTTACATTTAAGACATCTACATATACTCTTGCTACCATGTGACCTACAGATTTGTACAGCATAGTCAACTTGCAATGTTTGCTTTTTGAAGGAATCAAGATTTAAAAAGAAGTGGCCGAATATTTTAAGCCTGAATGTTGTTTCAGTGTTAATCTACAAAAAAGAAGACAACAATGTGTAGTAAACAACTCCTAAAGATTTTTCACATGCAAGACTTAGAATGAAAGGTCTCAAGGATTTTCTGTACCACATAACTTTATATATATCTTTATATGTTGCTTAAGTCTGTTGCAGAATGGGGTCTGGATTTTTTTTTTTTAAGTTTGTAAAGTTTTTTTAAAGTATCTTTTTTTAAGCTAAGCTGCTAGGCATCAGGCTAGGTAGGGTAATAGGTGGATCCAGTGTGGCAACTCCTGTAACAGCAATTGTTATTAACATCCTCTGTGATGTTTGCACAGTGCTTATGGTCACAAAAATCTAGGAGGAATTCCCTGCAGGTATGATGTGACTGTAAATTTTATGGGCTAAGTCAAGTAATGCAAGAGCATAGCAAACAATATTTTTCTATTTGGTGAGTAACTCTCTCACCTCCCTGACAAGATCAGATTCTAGAAATCTGGTGTCTAGAAATCTACCATGCAGTACCAAAGCCACATGTATCTTTCTGTCTTTATTAATTAAATCTAAATGTTATTTTGTTTTCATTTACACATCCATGAAGGTATCCTTACAGAATTACATCTGAATCACTGAAATACACTATGGATAATGTAGGAAAAAAGTTTTTAAAATTCTTAGATCATAATTCTGCATAGGTATACACTATCTATATGTTACTCTTTTTGGCCTCAGATGTTTTTAATAACAATTTTAATTAATTGAGATATATGTTCAAATTTTTTAGCTTAAATTATACAACATCAGTACACTGTCAACTAGTTGGATGTAATCTAGCAACATGAGACACAATGAGAGGCATACTTTTTTCAGAAAAAAGACAGAAAACCTCTTGCAAAGGGAGAGATTACAAAACTCTTGCTCACGTAGTTCTCACTTATTTTAAAAAGCCATTTCCACTCCAAGAAGAATAAACTTCGGGGATAGAGAGAATTCAGTTAATTCATTAGTAAAAACTAAATTGAAGTTTGTTTCTTACTTCTCAGAGGACCAATTTTTGCTGATCTTGTTGGGATTACAGCTCATGCAGCCCATGTTATGTAGAACCACCAAAACTAAATCATTTAGGACTCAGCTATGCTTTAACTACACTGATGCAGCATTCCTCCTGTACGTAAATGCAGAATTTACTGACAGCTGCTTCCAGCACCCAGGCTAGCTCATATAGCAAGAGTTTAGAGATCTCTACAAACCACTGCATTGGTCATTTTAGTCATACTTCTAGGGGTATTTGAAAAATTAAAATTATAGAAAATTTATGAGCATTTCACTGTTCCAAAACACAAGCTCTTATATTACATGCCTAACCCACCAAGACTACTTTTCTTGAACTTTTCGTCCAAAACATTTTTCATATGGCTAGCCTCCTGTGTTTGAAGAAGTGGTGCACTGTAACAGGGCAGACAGAATGTCTCTGTTTCATACAGAATCTAACATTTCCCTTTTCATCTTCATTTATGTAATTGATAGTCATACTTGTTTTATAAACAAAGATAAGTGTCCACTGTGCCTAGAGAAATCAAAGTCTTGCTTCCAAAAATAGTTACTTTCCAGAAACCGATGAGAGACACGACATTTGGAACACCAATCGTTTAATACAAAAAGAATGAGAAATGTTAACAAATGGGAATCTTGGCTCTGCCAGTTAATTTCTTCCCTGAAATATGTAACAGAATTAGCAAATTTCAGTCAGAAATATCACCGTCACAGAAGATTCTTTTTTCTTTTTACTGCATGATTTTTTTTTACTATCCGCCCCCCCCCCAAAGAAGTGTACAAAATCTATTGCTTTACACCTTTAGTCTTAGGTCTGATCATGGTACCAGTTTTGTGCATATCCCTGATTCTGGTGATTTATCCTAAAGTAATAAATCCACTATGTGTTCCTTCAGATATGAACAAACTTGCATCTGACCTGCTGAGGCACAAAGCACTGTCTTCCCAAGCAGGCCAATGGTATGTTCAGGTCTTGAATACCTGTTACACTTCGAACTGGTCTTGACAGTGTTGATTTGTCAGTATTATGTTTGCGATCCATCATTATAATATGTCCCATGCTTTAACGTTTTATGTTGCTGGTGGCAAATATTCTTCCGCTTTACAACATGAGCCATCGCTGCATCTTTTCTCCCACATTTGAAAAGTATTTATCAAAAGAATACTCATGAGTAACAGGAATGTTATTTAGTTTAGCATGAATATGAGTCTTTTTTTTATTCATGCTGTAATATCAAGGAGACATTCACAATGTGTGGTTAAACGATCCTTTTCTTCACTACACTCCCATCTTAGCAGAAAGACTCTCATCACTTTTTCTGTTGTGCTGATAACCTTCACCGTGAGGTGAAATGGCTTTGTACAAACTCTTCTGTTTGGAATAGGACCTCCCCTTATTTTTGAAGGTGTTACCGGGATGCCAGCTAGGGTCCTGATACAGTGCCCTCCTGAGTCATGTGATGGGCAGCAGCTCCGACAGCTGAACACCCAGCCATGTACCCACACAACTGCTACACCACGTGGGGGCTGCACGAAGTCATCCTACGGGTCGAACCAAGCTTGTCCAGTTGGACAGCCCTGATCTGGAATATAACCACCAAGAACTGCACGGAAAAGAATTCACTCATTCTTGATTAAATGTACCCATCTTAGAACTGATCCTTCCGCAGACATTGTAGGATCTGTGCTTAAAAAATCCTACAGAATTTGTAATACATTTCTATGGTTCTAACTGCGCCTAAGAAAGCCTGCTGAGGCAGACTTCCCCACTTGTCTTTCACTACCCCTCCTTAATTACATTTCTTTCTGCTCTCTTTTTTTTTTTTTTTCTTCTCCAAATAGCGTCTACAATAACAACACTACTTGAGTCTCATTTCACTTCCTGGAAAGTTGTGATAGGATGTCAAAAATCATACCATCCAAGCCTGAAATCTGAATTTCACTTTCTCTTCTCCCAGGGAGTCAGGGAAAAACAGTGGTTCCTAACAGGTCATCACATAAGAGAATAATTACCTATAACTACACTACGGTTTATGGAAGGAGGAGATAAGCACTCCAGGAAAGTTAACAGTATCATTTTGTAAAGTAGCAGGAGATGTTGCAAAAATCAGCCTGCCATCCCAACAGTGGCTAGCGAAAAAGGACTATCATCATAATCTCATGTGACACAAGGATCCTCTAAGTCCTGACTTCACGCTGTTTATCAGGCTTACGTTCAAAGTTGGATCTTTTGCATTGCTCTTTCCTCAGCTGACTTGCTACGCTTGAAAGTTACACACAGAACACTGACATTGTAATAGTCTGTGAATAATAAATATGAATGGCATTCAGGAGAAGTACAGTCTTTTGAGGATGTAACTTTAAAGAGACATTTAGATAGTAAGTAAAAAACGGTATTACCGCCATCTGCAAATCCTGTTGCGGTGATGATGGGCACAGCCACCATAATCATACCACAGCTACTCCAGACATACTTCATCAGGAACTGCTCTATCATGATGTACCATAAACGTTTGGACAAAATGAGACTCATTTGATCTGCCAAAGCCTTGTAGCTTTTTTGCAGTTGTTTCATTTCCACCTACAGTTAAAAAATAAAACATTTATACAATGTAACAAAGATGCACATGTCAAACAAGATACGTTCACATACATGCATGAAATAATCGTGTACCCAGAGCTGTGATTTCTGAGTCACATCTGCTGTGTGGTCCTTTATTTTCACAGTGCTGCAGTCTCACAGCAAAAGTGCACAGCATTATGGAAGTCAGCAGACCTAGTTCTTATTTACACCATCGTCCCTCAATAGCACATCGTCCCTCAAAGGTTTTCAGCTTTTTTAAGATCTCTGATATATACAAGAACAACACGCAAGGCAGTCACAACAACTGATTCTAACAACCAAAATAAGATTGATTCCACATCCGTTTAATGAAGCTGCAGCTGTAGAGTTTCACAGCAACTGAAACTCCTCACACTGGAAAGCGTTTGGGGATCAATTATCTCCAACGACTTAAAGGTGCAGAGCTGATCCCTGAAATGCAATGCTGCTTGGTTTTGCAAGCAGTCTGGAGGAAGAGAGAACTATCCCGAGAGGTTTAACAAGTCCCAGACAGTTGCAAGTCAGTATGATATAATGCCAGTATATGTGGGAATTGAAAAAATGTTTAATTTAGCTGCACTTAAAACATTACTATAGGCAGCTTTTGAGAACGATTGCTTCTACCAAAATAAACCATCTACATTATATAATCATTGGTTGGACTGAAAGAACAATACTTCAGGCTGGTTTCCAGCTTTCATTTTCACCTTACATGAAACAAATGTTTTTTTTTTCCAAAATGTGTTTGAAAGGTGTTACAGCCAAAATTCACTTCTAATAAAAATATGAAGAGTTCCTTAATAAGGTGGCTTTAAACCAAGCCATTAGTTTATGTAACTGTGACTGCTGAAGTACTGTACTTAAGTTATTTTAAGACTCTGATGACTACATCTTTGCTTAGCTATGTAAAACAGCGTCAAAGGTTGTAGTGCTCTCTGTGCTATCACAGAGTTCTCCCCGACACTTTCTGGTGTGCCCTGGTTGTTATTTCTGCAGCATTAAATCTGGTAGTTCATAAACATGGGTGAAAAAAAAAAAAAGCCTGGAAAAGTTAAGCGGAATGGACTGGGTGGGGGAAAGAAGGAGATTAGCTTTCTCAAAAAGCATAGGATCCAGCTGCAAAACAGGAACATTGTCAGAGCACAAGGGAACTACGGTCCGCTCCCCCCAGATACCGCCTGTGGGACTGCATTTTCCTAGGAAATGGGAAGTGCTAGCTATAAACAGGTTTAAATGTCAGAGAGACCCAGAGTGCTCGAGGAGGGCAGCAGGGGAAGCGCGGGTCAGCTCCGGCACTGCAGGAGCAACCCCAACACCCTTCAATTTCTCTCCTCCTTACCTTGTGCCCTCGGTAAAAGGCGATCTCTTCCACGTTGGCAATGATGCGTGAATGCATGAAGCGCAGATAGCCTTTCTTCTGCGCCTCCTCGGCCACCAGCTTGCCAAACTTGGGAGAGCAGGCTTTGAGCACGCGGGCTGTAGCGTAGACGACAAGCCCAGCCAGGAGCGTGGGCCCCATGGGGTTAGCCCCCCGTGACCGCGCTGTGCGGATGAGGGTGTAGGAGGTGAGCACAACATCCAGGATGGGCTTGGTGAGGTTGGAGTAGAGATGTGCCACGGACTGTGAGAACATCATGATGTCCTCGGTGAGGGACTGGTCAGGGTTGGCCAGCCGCCCATCCATGCTGATCACTCTGTAGTAAGTCTGGTTGGCAAAGTAGGTCTCATAGGCGTGATCCACCAGGCGCGTGCGGAAGGCGAGGGCCAGCTTGCACTCCAGGTACCGTATAGTGCTGTTCACGAAAGTGGCCGGGATTGCAATCATCAGCCATTTGATTAATTTGAAGACAAAGCTCCTGGGCTTTTTTTCCACGATGCTTTTCACAATCTTCCCATCGAGGGCGGCCACATAGATGGAGAGGAAGGTCCTGGAAACCAGAGCGACCGAGTGGAGGCAGAGCAAGCCCAGCTCGGCGCTCACCAGCTTTGGGAAGAACAGCTTGCGAAGTTCCAGCAGCTGCTTGAAAAATTCCGCGTTCACCGCCGGGGAGGCTCTGCCCTGGCTGCCGCCGTGGTGCGGCGCCTCCCGGCCCCCTTCGGCCCGGC